GGTAAAAGTAGCCAGCTACGATCGTTGGTGTCTTTGTGAGCCACCAAGTCGAGCTGGAACCACCATGCCACCAATCACCACCCACCACCCACTGTCGCTGTGGCTGTGTCAACCCGCCACGCGGTTGCACTTTCAAGTGGCGCGCGCGCCCGTACACATCGCTCCCACATAATTAAAAAAAAACCAAAAAAAAAGAAAATACAAAAAATCGGTGGACTTCGGCGTCGCGTGGGGCCCCAAAAAATTCACAAAACTGGTGTCTGGAATTATGCATGCGGCGCCACACGTGCGCTCGCCAGCAGAGATGCGTCACAAGAAGAAGAGGTAGTGAGTTCCTGACTCCAGTCTCAAATTGAGATTCTCCATAGAATCCAGAATCGAGAATCCAGAATCGGGTATCCTGATTCCAAGCTCTAGTTTTGCATACTCTCGCATAGTTTTGCTAATTTTTTCAAATGTTTTTTTTTCAATGTGTGTACTGTGTGGCTGTGTGTAAAATTGGATATGATTCGCATTGGAATGGAGACAGGCAAAAGCAGTTTGTCATGCAGGATAATTTTAAAATGATGTAAATATGTGCCAAGATTTTCGAATTTTCCTTAGAATCCCATTAGCAGTAGTATAAAATTGCTTAACTATATTTCCGTAGGCCTTACTTATGCTATTGTAGCACTTTTGAATGCTAAAACCATTTATGGAAGATATCAACTAATGTTAATTAAACAACTAGGTGCAACAAACTATAACTGTGTTCTTTGTTCGCTGGTTTTACGCTTCAGAAATATTGGGAATTTTGAATCTTCGTTTAGCACACAACTCTTTTAGCAGTGTAAATATGTGCCATCTCTCGACTTTGTGGCCGATTGGGGAGTTTCGAGTTGGCAGTTGAAGTGGCAAAGCGGATATGTTAGACGTCACGAAACAATCCCATCAGGCTCCCCATTTCGTCCTTTGTGGAGTGGTGTGTGCCTTTTGATTGCCACAGCCTTGACGTGAAGCGGAAATATTTGCCCAGCACTTTTCGTCTTTGGTTTTTCTTTGTTCGGTTTCCATTTTCCATTTTCCATTTTCCGCCGCTGCTCTGTTTTGTTTTCACGAACATTTTTTAATTGATTTGCCTTTGTTTGGTTGCCGTTTTTGTTGTCGTTGTCGTTGTCGCCTTCACCGTGGCCATGACCAGTTAGCCGCAAAAACAACCGCCTCTTCACTTCCACCCTTCCACCCTGGTAATTTGCCCCAACTTTCTCTCTTTCATTTATTTATTTTTTTTTGTGATATATTTTTTTTTGATATATATTTCATTTTGGAACACACACGCACACGGCTCTCCGCTTTTGAGTGTGTGTGTGTGTGTGCGGAGCGAGCGAGGAAAAGGCCATCAATTTTGTTATTTTTAGCATGCAAATCGTTTTGTCAGCCTTCGGGGCAAATGACTTGGTCGAGAGGGTGCCTTCATCCATCTGACATCCAGCTGGGCAAGCAGATGCCCCCGGATTTTCCAGCTTCCCTGCCGATCCGATGCAACCCGATGCACTTGCTCGTGGCCTTTTTGCCGGATATTATTTGCTTGGCTTTCGCCTCCATCTACATAAAATCTGTGTCTCACTGTGGCAAACATTTGATCAATAATATTTTGGAGTAGCCCCCTCCAGAAAACGCTTTCGCAATCTCCTCACGTGCCGTGACTGCTTATTAGCCATGAAGGTTACCAGCACCAGCTGAGTTAAGTTGTGTGCACAGCAAAAAGAAAATGTTATTAAAAATAAAACTGGAGAAAATTACAGCTTTGCCAGAAAGCTGGACTTAAATTGTCTTGGCTGATCTCTCAGTTAAACTGGAAATTCATATTATGATGCGGTTATACACAACATATTTTTCCGAAAAGCAAACTTTCATTTCTTTCGAATGCCTGCGGCTTTTCGCCGAGTGTGTTTGCTTGGTTTGCTTCAGTCGGCGGGCATGCAGCCCATCGGGAGCACCACCCTGCCCCACTTAACCACCGAACGACCAACCACTGACACTGGGCCAGGGCAATTTGCATGGCAACAATGGCAACAACACGCCGCATATGAGCAGCGCAAAGAGCCGACCATGATCCATGGGCCAACATTGCGTATGCGTCATATGCTCAATGTTGCTCCGCTCGTCGACAAATTGCAGTCGCACATGCAATTGAATTCCATTCCAGTTCAGCTCAGCTCTGTTCTGTCCATTTGCAGCACCCGGCAACAATTGTCCTTCGTCCTCGGCAACACCCAGTGTTGGGTAAATGATATTGGAATTTAAATATGAATTTGATTCGGAATATGAATGGGTGCGCGGATTTAACGAGCTTGCTGCTGAATCCAGGGCGGAAATTGGGCAAATGGCAATGGGCTTCGACTTGTGTTTATATACAAAAATCAACCAGCAGAGCTGTGATTAATTTTGAAAAGGTGCGGCATTTTTAGCCGCTAATTCAGGGTCGCGCTGAAAATAATTTAGCAGCCAGCTGTTTTTTGGAGGCAAATAAAAGTACTTTGCATTATTCTATGAGTCTTAGGCTTACCTATATTATTTCACGTTGAAATTAACAAGTATTTTATGAGAACTCAATAGTTTGACTCCGTTCATAACAATTTATAGTCTGTTTTACTTTAGCTCGCATTGCCCTTACATTAAAGTTGGCCTTGATTTCTTGCCGTGCATTGTTGCCGCTGCTGCTGCACACATATTAACATTAATCGTCATGCGAACGCACACATACCCACACTAGCATGCACGGCACTCACACAGCGAAAGAGTTACGAAACCGAGGAACCAGCAAACGAGAAAAACAAACTACGAAAATGACGAACGCGACAACGACAACGACAACGACAACGACAACGACAACACAGCGACAACACAACGACAGAAAAGCGACTGCGGCAACGACGACGACGCGAAGCCGAATTGAAATGTTGCCCTCGGCTGTCAGACACTCACACACACACACACATGCAGTCGCACAAGCATGGGCAAGATTATAGGAGTCGAGATAGCAGCAATCGCACGGAAATATCTAAGTTTCTTCGAGTTGAAGTAGATAAAATGTGTGTGCATTTTGGACTACTCGCTGTGTTGCCATTAATCACACTCTATGGAAAATAAGTTACAAGTTGTGGTCATATGAGCAGTTGCTAACAGATTTGAGTATTATTAAATTGTATTAAATTATTCTTTTAAATGCAAGAAATATGTTCAAATATACCAAGCAGAAATTAACGTCGATCCAACAAAGAGTTACCGTGCTATCATTAATAAAGAATAATATATATATGTATGTACATATATATTAAACAATATGTTGGCGAGCCCTTGAAAGTATGCTACGCTTTTAGCCGCAACTGTGTGCTACACACTCGCAACTCGGAGTTCACGAGCTCTGGCCCTTGTTGTTCTTGCGAGTTGAGTTAAAGTCGGGCTGCCAGCATATGTGTGCCTGCGTGCGTGTGTTAGTGCACTCGCGTGTGCATGTGTGTGTGTTGCCGCCATCTGCAGCATTTAGTGAAGTTAAGCAATGAAGTGAACCCAACTGAACCGAAACTTGCCGAAATTGAAACGACGACAACAGCGATGAGGAATCGTTGCCATGCCTATACTATATGAGATATATATATATAAATATATATATATATGTGTATATATGGAAATACTTGCGTGTGTGTGAGGGGTTCAAGTGGTGCTGCTGGCTTAGATTCCTGTTCCTTTTTTTTGAATTTTTCTCGGTGGCGTTTCTGACTTTTGGTTCTGGTTTTTGGCGAATAGTTTGTCCCGGCCAGCCAGCCAGGAAGCCAGTTAACAGGGCTCTCTCTCGCTCTCGCACTCGCTCTCGCTCTCTCTCTCTCTCGCTCTCGCTAACCAGCTTTAGCTCGCTCCCTGTCCTGGCAAACGTGTGTGTGTGTGCGAGTGTGTGCGTGTGGCAACTTCGTTGTTGTTAGTGGCATTGCTGCTGCCACTTCTGCCACTGCCACTGCCACTGAAACTGCTGCTGCTGTTGGCTTTTGGCATTGTCAACAACGCGGCACAAAGTTCATACAATTGTGACACGCGGCGCGTTAAGCACGTGGCTCTGACTGATAACAGAGCTCTGTCTGTTCTAACAAAATAAAAATTATTAAAAATCATGTGGCAAATGCCGCCTAAGAGTGGGCAATGCATTTTTTAAACAATTTTTTTGCAAGTGGTGTGCGGTGCTGCGTGTGTGTGCGTGCCAGTGATAAGCTTCATTGACCTCCTGACCCCGCTGTCTGTGATTTTCGATTTTTGTTCGAGTGCCGCGAGAGAAAAGTGCGTTGAAGTACCAGGAAAACTGTGCGATTAGCTAACGTTTAGTATTTGCCATTTACCATTTACCAGCAACCGGAGCAGTGCATTCAACTCCATTTGGATGCCGTCCAAAAGAAAAAAGATGAATTGTGATGTGTAAAAGGAGGGTTTTTAAAGGCGTTGAAGCCAACGAACTAACATGTTTTTAGAACTAAATCAAACGAATCTATGCACAATAAACACCTAAAACCAATCCAAGCAAATGAAAAATATCTAAAGTTAAACACTGTTAAATAAACTTATAACGAAGCACCTTAACTAAAATTTACGAAACAATTAAATAACGTAGTGAACTACAAATAAAAATTTATTAACTATAGCGTCTAAATTTTAAAACTTTACTAATAAACAGAGATTAATGGCACATGTACCTAATTATATAATCTCAAATCTTCATTAGTTTGTGATATTACACCACGAAAACATAAAGCATTCGCAAAATAGCTTACTACTAAAAAGAAATACCTCCTAAAAATGTTAATTCGTGTTCAGTCCTTATTAAAAATCAAATTCTGTTAAAAAAAATGCATTAATAACACATAATTAAAATTTAATAAAATTATTGGGTTATTGAAAATGAGCCATACACATTAATGTGGTGTAATTAAAATCAAGAACTCAGCCCAAAAAGTCGTCAAACAAACACAGCAATGAGCAGCAACAATGGCAACGAGCATTCGCAACAGCAGCAGCAGCAGGCGACGCCTGCCACATCAGCTGCAACAACGGCTGCAGCAGCAACAAGCACTGCCAACTCGGAGGCTAATCCAGTTGCAGGATCACAGACATCGCGACCTGCAACGGCGCCCGCACGCTCCATCAGCAGCAGCAACAACAACAATAACAATGCCACCAGCAGCAGCAGCTTTTACAGGGTCAACCTGAGCAGCACGAACAGCAGCAGCATCAACAACAACACCAGCTGCAGCAGCAGCGGCAACAGCAACAGCAACGCGAACCAGGCCAGCAACAACAATCACCATGAGAGCAGCAACACCACGTTGGTGGTCAAAACCAGCAGCACAGCAGCGGGAGCCACTGCATCAGCGGCCGCCACCACCAACAACAACCACATCTATGTGAATCCGCACAGCTACGACAGCAGCACCACCGGCAGCGTGAGTGGTTCCACGGCAGTGATGCTGCCACTGCCACTGAGTCTCCCGCTCAATCTGCAGCATCAGCCAACAGCCGTTGCAGCGGCTGGACCAGGAGCAACGGGAGCAACATCACTCGACTCGCAGCAGCAACATCCGCTGGGTGGCAGCAACACGGGAGCCATCAGCCGCATTGGAACCCTGACCGGAACCGCAACCGGCACCTCCGCATCCAGCACCCTAAGCACCCTGAACACATATCTGTTTCCCTGCGGCGCCGACTCGGCCAGCAGCTGCGATCTGGACAGCAACTTCAGCCAGATGCTGGGAGCCGGCAGCGAGGGTGGCGCGAGCAGTTCCCTTAGCCAGACGACGGCGCCCGCGGGATTGGGACTGGGCGTGCAGCTGGGGTTGGGCTTCATCAACAGCCGGCGGCGCATCAGGCGGCTATTCGGTGTGGGAGACATGGTGCCGCCTGTGGCCACGCCCACGCCCTATGCAGCCGCCCTCAGGCGGCGCAGTTCGCAGTTGGTGCACATGACCAAGAAGCGGGAGAGGGAGCTGGAGGATCTGGAGCAGCAGCAGAGAATAGCCACGGTGGCCTCGGCAAATGCCGCTTTCCTCGAGCGCCGCGAGCAACAGCAGCAGCAACAGCAGCAGCATCTGCAGCAGACGCAGCAACAGCAACAGCAGCAGCAGCAGCATCTGCAGTTCGCCTTCAATCCCTTGCAACCAGAGGCTGGCAAAAAGAAGAAAAAGAAGCCACCTGGACCGCCGGCGCACACGAGACAGCAGTCCACGCGCACCATGGACGACCCCATGATGAATCGTCCCAGGAAGAGCACACCGGCGGCCAGCAAGAGGAAGGACAAGGGACCGGAGAACCCCTATGAGAAGTACCCATCACCAAAAATCCAAAAGCACCCACCGCTCTTAAGCCTCACGTATACGAAACCAAAAACCAAAATGAGAACAACCAATATCAAAATATTTATGAAAATTATGCGGCAAAACAAGTGCTTCTATTACCATTTGATTTACGCCATTTGCTGCCATTCGTTTGATTTTCTTGCTTGTAACGATTTGAATAAAGCGATTAAGAATACCTGCAAATACATAGTATTTTAATTAGTTTGAGTACCGCTTTGCTTTAACGCTTCTCAATGCTTTTTCGCCTTGTTGATTCTCCTCGCCTCCAGCACCAAAAGTTGCAAGTTTGCTTTCCTGACCATGTGACACTAGTTGCAATTAAGCAATTTTGACAGCGCTTGCAATTTTTATGAATTTTCTAGCGGCCATTATTCTAACACATTTATTTAATTCGCTGGGAGACTGCAATTATATTTAAAGTGTGCCCTAGCAACATTAAGTTTTTATTGGCCTTAATTTTGTAAAAGCTTTTCAAACCTTCAAATGGCTCTACATATTTCTAACGACTCGACTGGTCGATTGAAATCTAAGAGATTTGTTCATTTGATTGTAAGCAAGTGTCACATGGGCATAATTAGTTTGCTCACTGAGATTTAGCCGTCCCACAGGGCGAATGCGTAATGTCCGCAACAGCGGGCAGGCAAAAAGATGGCAGGAAAGCGCGACGTTTTTGGCTTGGGGTCAGAAACAGAGCCAAGTTGCCGCCAAGTCAATGCCCGAAAGTCAGACACAGAAACCGTAAATGAATCCAGAATCTATAACCGAATCTGAATCAACAGACAGTAGACGGCGCCAGCTCCAAACTCCGGCAAAAAAAAGCAAAAAAAAACAAAAAAATAATAAAAATAAGCACTCTGGTAGCAAAGTTCGCTGGGTCGACGGGGAACGGCGAGAAATAAATGCGTAGTCATCTGTGCGTCTAACTGGAGCCAGCATAAGTCAGTGTCCTGGCCATCGAGTTATCCCGTCTGCCAGCATTCGTTACGTATACGCCACCGTGGCGGAGGAAATGGCTGCTTTTCCTTCTTCGCGTTGGCAAATGAGCACGGTTAATTGCCGTAGGTCAGCACAAATCCTCTCGATTGAGGAATCTTTGACAGCCTGTTTTTTGTTTTTCCGCCCAGCTCTGTTTGCCATTTGATTCTGGGACTTTGGTTTATTTAGTCGTATATTCTTACCGCCTTTATGTAACGCCTTGCCTGTTTGGCAACTGGAATGGGCTGTGGAACTGCTTTAATGTGGCTTGCGTGTCGCTGTGGACCTTTGTTGTGCCCTTTGTTGCTCGGCATTCTTGCCTCCTGCTGTTAAAAAAGAATTTATGTCAATGCCAGAAGCGACAAACAACAAACAGCGAGGCAGCAACAAGAAAACAATAACAGAAGCGAATATTATAATGGAATAAGGACCGGACTGGGTGTGTGTGTGTGTGTGTGGGTGAGTGTGTGTGAGTGTGGGGGCGGGCGAAATCGGGAGTACAGACTTGGCCCCAAAACATTACTCTGCAGTTTCAGTTAATTGGCACACACACGCACACACTCGCTCATTTCTGGGGCCTATCCCCCTTTTTAGTGGCCAACATGTGGGCGACAAAAACGCGTGCACTGGGAGAAAACCCTACCTGGTTATTTCACTGTTGGACTCTTCAAGTACTCTTATTTGGCATTTTGCTATAAAATTAAAAACTAGTGAAAATGTACATTTTCTTGTGCTTACAAAACACAGTAGGTGCGCTTCGTCATTATGTGAGCTAAACAATGATAATGCTGCTGATAATATATGCAGAATGATAATATATTCTTTATCTAAATACCTATTTCAAAGTATTCTGCATATTAAGTGTACATTTTCTTGTGCTTACAAAACACAGTAGGTGCGCTTCGTCATTATGTGAGCTGCGGTACACAATGATAATTTTGCACATAGAATATATATTCTTTACCTATTTCACTTCGATTTATAGATAAACACAATGAAGAGCTCTTTTACTAAGCTGCGTTTGACATACTCGTATATAGAGTATGTGTTTAAGTTGTGTAGCAGGGGTATTTTCTTTCAGTGCTGCGACTGAGAGCTTTAGGTGTGGGAAGAGTGCGAGCGAGAACACGCGACGCCAGCGCTGCGACATGTAGCCGCCATTTAAATTGCCCGGCATAGGCGACCTCGTCACCCCACCGCCCACCACCCACCACTCCGAGCCGCTCCTCCCCCTCCCCCACCCTGGGCTACCCCAACGTGGGAACAGACCCGGAATGAGACATGTTGCCCTTGATTTGTGTGCACGGCATGTGGCGGCGTGTTGACTATTTGCATTGCATGTCCTCCTCCTTCCACCCCCTCCCTTCGCACACACACAACCGCCCACCCACCTACACATGCGCCTCCCTTTTGCCATTGGTGTGTGTGCGTGCGCGCGTGTGTGTGTGTGTCCAATAATTTCGTAACATGGCCTTTGTGGCGATCTTTGCACAGCGATAAGCGAACTGGGAGGAGAACTCATTGAGTTGGCCACTCGCAACTTATATTTTCCATTTTTTTGCCATTTTTTGGGCCAAGTGTAAAGGCCTTTGGCGAGGACAAAACAATATCATTTGGCCCATTGCAATTGGAAGTCCATGTGTTAGTGAGTGTGTGGGTGTGTGTGCGTGTGTACCGTTCCAATGCCAAGTGATTTGCATTTTTGTGGCTTGCGACTTCTTGTGCTGCGCCTAATGACGGGATAATTATTAATTACTCGATGCCTGTAATGCCCATTGTAACTTTCGCTTTTGCTGAATAATTCCCACTGGCGATTGCAAAGCAATTCAATGGGTGCGCAGAAGTGTGTAATTAAATTGTATTTACCGACGAATCCAGTAGAAGCTATTATTAGTTGGACATGATTGAAGGCAAGGCAGTGGAGGCTTGACCCACATTTTCTGATCCATTAGTTTCACCATTAATGCGGATTTCACTTCAGATACGGCATTGCATGTCCAATTTAGATACACAATATGCAATTATTACACTTTATTTTGTGATGCTTAAGACAACTTGTAATGCAATTATTACTCAATACTCACGTTTAAGTGGTTGCTTATAAATTTAATTTATCTAATTATATTTTATAGAAATAGCACGTTATGTAGTAGAATTAAGTAGTATCTTCCTATGGATATATTTCAATTGATTGGCATTCTGCGCCAACCACTTGCGCCTTTAAATTTAAGCAAGAACTTAAATATGGCTTAACTTGCATAACTTACAAGTTGCTCACGAGTTAGAAACTCTTGAAAGTTGCCTCTAATTAAGCTGATTGCTTGGCCAAGTGTTTACCATCTGGTTGGGCTAATAATCTTGGCAACGGAAATGAATTCAAATTTGCGCCGGCTCGCCGCGGTGCAAAATAGGCTACGGAATCCATTCACTTATAAGCTGCAGCAAGGAGGCGTCTCGCACACACAACTTTACCGCAAGGGCCACCAATTAGTGGAGGCACAGCCCAGCCGCCCCATGCCGCCCCATGCCGCCCCACCACCACCCCCTGCGGCAGCGACCTTGAACTCGCCGGCAAATCGAAGCACGAAACGAACACAAAGCGAATGAAAGTAAAAGTTGCACGTGCTTCGTCTTCTGCGGCTGGTGCTTTGGCTTTGGCTTTGCTTTTCCCGCTTTTCCCCGCTTTTCCTGCCTGCTACTTGCGGCAGCTGCATGCATAATGTGCAAAATATATGCCACCACCCACCACCCGCCACCCATTGCACTCCAGCCATCGCCGCTGTGGCGCGAAGGTCGCCACTGCAGGCTAGATGGCTAAAAAATCCATTAGGCCCTGTTGATGAACCTGCCCCACCTCCCAAAGGCGCTGACGTCACCACCGAAGACTCACCTGTTTCTCACTTCTCACTTTTCTCACTTCTCACTTTTCCCACCTCTGCTCACCTGGCCCTTTTGTCTTTGCGCCTGCATTTACTTATTTATTGAGCGCTGCGACAAAAATTCGCAAGAAATATGTATGTATGTATGTATATGGAGCTATATAGGGTATATGTGTAGATATGGAAGGGGGCGGGGCGAAGTGACGACGTCAGCAGCGATTTATTTCGCGACAGTTTGTCGTTCATCTTTTTTTTACGACCGACGACTCTCAGATTGCTGTTGTCATTTATTTGCCGTCATAAACTTTCAATGGAATCACGCAAGCGATTTTTGCCAACTTTTCTCATACTTATACTTCGCCGCCCGCTGCTTTCTTTTATTGTGCCGCATATATGACAAAAATGTGACAGCGACAGCAGGCTTCTCTTCCGCCCATTTTTTCATTTTTCCATTTCCCCATTTTTCCATTTTCCTATTTCTAGTCACCACTCTCCCATATATTGTTTGTGTGTTCTTAAAGCGGCAACGCATTCGCAGCCCCATTTTCCCATTAACTCCCGAGCGGACTTTAAACTTCTGCCTGATGTTTTGCATGTTTGACACACAAATTGGGTGGAGGGGGTGTGGGGGGCTTCCCGGCCAAAAGGGAAAACGGAGCCAAAAGGCGAACAATAAGCAAATTGGCCAAAGGGCGAACGGCAACAACAGCAATCAACAGCATTGGCAATAGCGAGTTCCACTTTCGGTCCACAGCGAATCGCTGATGCCCTCACTTTGGATGCAGGGCAAGTAAATTGGCTGTTTTATTAAATATTTATGTTTTAGAGGGGAGTTATGGTTCAATTTTGCACACAACTATCTTAAAGGCCTTAAAACATATCTAAATTGCACAATTTCAATTCGTTAGTTACGGCTATTGATATCTTTCTATCTAACTATCTATTAATTAGATATGTATCTGTGGTGTTAGCTACATATTTTGTATAGAGGAAATATTAGTTCTAATTACATATTACTTCATATATAAAAGATTTTCAATTTCACAAAGCTAAAGATATATTTATACTTTTACTTAGATTATTCGCTGCACTTTAAAGATTCCTACATCTTCTCTCTTTGGTTCAGTGCATTTCGCAGAGCACTATTAATTTATTTAATAAACACTTAATTGTCTTACCAGATGTTGGGGTTCCTAGGTATCTGTCTCCCTATATGCCTTGCTTAACTGGAAAAAGTGAGGGTTTCGCTCTAGTCGTTGCACTTGGCACTCGATGTTGCCACCGCTCTCTGTGTGTTCTTGCCCCGTATAAATAACATTTTTGTCAAGCGCCTCGTATGACAAA